GCAAAAGAAAATTTGCATAATGTCGTTGATGTTTCATATCAAGGCATGAAACAACTGTGATACAAAACATCTCGATTCGACATAAAACATTGTTGGCCTCCCCCTCATCATAGTTAAGTCACTTCTGTTTTCCTATGCCAGGAAAATAATTTTTATTTTCTTAACCATTCGTCTGTATTGGCCTACACTTAAGAAATAAGGGAGCAACAAGCGGTTATCTAAAGAAAAAAAAAATGCAATTTTAATGGCCAACCACTTTAGTTGGTAGGACTAGTTGGTTAATTCAGCCAATAGGCTCATGTTATTGTTTCGCCGAGTATCAATAAATTACATTCGGCTGCACAAGTTTATCCTCCAGAAAATAAAGGTGATGTGTTTGGTGATCAGCTAGAGAAAGGATTAATTTCCTTAACCATTCAACATGCAAACCGAAGCTCTAAGAAACTCTGGATGTTTTAACATTTAGATCCTTGTTTAAAATTATAAAAATCAAGATCTAATGGTAAAGACACCCAACACTGGGTGTTGGGAGTATAAATCCACATCGGGGAAATGAGAGACTTTGCATGTGATTATAAGTAATAGGGCTACTCCATATATTACCCATTTGGTTTTACGGTGGAACATCAACTTTCTTCATGGTAAGAGAGCAAATTGTCCCATGTGTGAAGCCCAAGGCCATACGCACTCCTCGTTGACCTATTTGTGTTATCTACGTGTTAGGCTTGAAAATGTGCAAAATGCAAGGGGCGTGTTCAGAGTATACATCTCACATCGGAAAATGACCTTATATGTGCTTATAAGTAATTAGGCTAATCTTTGTATTGTTAATTGGTTTTATGATAAAACCTTGTTAATTGGTTTTCATAAACAAATTGACAATATATGGAGTAGCTCAACTATTTATATGCACATGAAAAGTCCCTTCTTTCCTCAAGGTGAAATTCATGCTCTCAACTCTAGATACTGGCTAAACCTCATCTCTCTATATATACCAAGCATTTCAGCCTCCCCCTAGTGAATCACATGATAGTGGTTATGAAGAAACTAAAATGCTTCTATGAGTCTTCCCGGCTTCAGAAAAAGTGAATTGTCATAATGAAACCACCAGCTGTTCTCTTTTTAAAATTTGATGAAAACAGGTTAATTAATCGCATTCTTATGGATAACATCGAACTTTTCTCTTTGCTGTATTCGATTCACCAAATTGTTTAAGTTTACGGATGAAGAACCGTGTGGACTGGTGGCTTCTTCTGCAAGTTTCTTCCACTCCATGGCCTTATTTCTCATTTCCGTAGCTTTCTCTCCCTCCATTAACTCTCTAACAAGCTTCTCCACTTCCTCTCTCTTCACATTCTTATCCATCTCCATACCAATGCCCCATTCTTTGCAAGTATAATGACAGTTTGTTTGCTGATCAGAATGGAATGGGCAGCATAACAGAGGCACTCCTGCAGACACACTCTCAATTGTTGAATTCCAACCGCTGTGTGTTAAAAACCCTCCAATCGATGGGTGGTTAAGTACTTGCTCTTGTGGGCACCAACTCGCTATTAGACTTCTTCCCTTAGTTTCATCCACAAACTCAGGTGGTAAAATTGCGGATTCACCGATGACCAAGTCAGGCCTAATTACCCAAAAGAAAGTAAGCTTGCTATTTGCAAGTCCCCAACCAATCTCCAGAAACTGTTCTGGTGTAACGAACGATGCGCTGCCAAAATTCATGTAAACAACAGAATTTGACGCCTTGGCGTTTAGTCATTTAAGGCACTCTGTTTCTTCTTTCCATAAGCTGTATCCCATAGGCTTCAAAGGGTCTTCTAGTATCTGATCGAGAAGCAATTGCAGAGGGCCAACCGCGTAAACATGTGGAAGTATAGATGAGAGAGCCGCCAAAACATCTTTGTTCCAGTGCATCAAAAGTATGAACAACAACTGCTGAAGCTTTACGAGCTCTGTCCAGTGCTTCTAAGATGTGTCTAGAGTAGACATCGTCGGGATTTGTAGTTTGAAAGACGGTTGGTAGGTCCTTTAGACGGATAGTTTTCATTCCTGGAATCCAATCTATTACCTTGTCCAGAAATCCATTTGTGAAATAACTCTCATCTAAAATATTCAAGTAAAGAAAAATGATCATTTGATTAGGACAAAAAATTAATAAATCTACTTTAAACAATTGCTTCCATTATTTCTTCACCTTTGAGTGGCGCAAGTCCCTTTTTCACCAAAGCGGGGTACTGCATAAACCCCATAAAGCTGCTTGCTGCAAAAGTAAAGAACAGTGCTATACGAATGCCAAGTTTCTCAGCTGCAAGGGTCGTGAATGACATGAAACCATCTTAAACAAGGCAAGTCACTGGAGGATTAACATCATTGGACGTTAATGCAGTGTTGAGTTTTTCGATGAGGCTAAGAAACGGAGGTAAGATACTTTGGCTGATGAAATGAAAAAGCAAAATGATGTCTTCTGGGGTACGTTTATCCGAACTAATTGTATGACCATCGATACTTTGGCTGATGAAATGAAAAAGCAATATGATGTCTTCTGGGGTACGTTTATCCGAACTAATTGTATGACCATCTGGGATTGTTTCGTATCGAAAATCAGGCAAGCCATCAAGAGAATTGGGTCCAAGGGATTTAAGAAATTGCTTGTGGATGTACTCCGTGTTGACAAAGGTTATATGAAAACCTCTATGGTGGAGGAGCTTTGCTAATTTGAGCATTGCCTTTATATGACTTTGAAATGGAAGTGGAACACATACAGCATGAGGCTTCTTGCCTTCTGCCATGGAGTTCATCTTGGGTTGCGTGGTTCGTCTAGTCTGACCCTTTTATCGAATACGGTAGATTGTTGTACATAACACCGGCCGTTTGACAGTGAGTAGTGAGAAGCCTGTAGGTTTATCTTGTCCCCGTACGTATGTGCATGGTCGAGTTAAACTTAATTGTCAATTCTTTAGGTTTCTCGTGTTTTAGTCTGTACATGTGGTTGTATTTAACCGACAAGGCTCGATCGTCCTATTCTTACAGAAACAACGGGCTACACAGTTCATGTGATTTATTTTTGGGGCTTTTTGATCCATTTCCAAAATCGTAAATGGTTTTTAGAAGTGAGTTTAATTATCTAATTGTAATTTTTTATTTTTTATACTCTTTTTATATTTTCTAAATATATTAAAAATCAATTAAAATCTTTGGCTAAACCACACAATGAGTAATCTAATTTGGTATCAAATTCGCCATTCACTAGATTCGAATTTAAGACCTCTCACTTCCAAATGAAGAGGAATACCACCAGACCGTAATATTAAGTGGTCATTGAAGAGAGAATTATTGATAATAAGATAATTAAATTTAAGGAATTGGACTTATTTTAATAAATTGGACTATTCTCAAAAGATATCAAGTTTCTCTCTTTTTTTTTTTTTTCAAAAGAAAAACTAATGAAAATGGCTTGAAAACTTGGAGTTTTAATGATAATGACAAAATAAAGGGTAAAGTGAATAGTACCAAGATTGACTTCTTAGTGTTAAAATGTGATTTTTCGTTAAAATAAATAGTATCGGAAGCTTTTCGTTAAAATTCTCAATTTTTTTTATTAGTTTGGAAAGGGCCTTGAGGGGAAGGGGTTCGTTCTTGTGGAGTCAGTTATTTCTAATTTCTCTTAGCAAAAGGGAGTGGCCTATACTCGTAGTTTCGCAAAAAAAAAAAAACAAAAAAAAAAGGAGGTTACAGTTGTACGAGATGTCTTTTAGACTTCCAAAACTGCATTTTAAATTCTATAATAAAAATCAAACTTCTCGTTTGTTGTCCGATTAATGTTGTTTTGCTTTCATTTAATTTTTTAAGGCTTTGAGTTACCCACAGGGTGTTGTAATCAGGTTATTTAAGCCATTCATTGACTCCTATTATGGTGTTATTTCAATCTTACTTAAACAAATCCTTTGGGACTATTCTCAAAAATTGGTGGATTCCAAAATTTTGCCTTTAAATTACGCTTGGTATCCTTTAAACTTAGTACTGCGTCAGATTTATATATCAGAGTATAATAAGGTTCCATTCAAGCATATTCATATGGTATATATGCAAAGGATAAAATTCAAAGCTACGTACTTTCCAGTATAGGTCAAACCACTCGATTTGATTATGAGTCACCTTCACTTGTAAAGAACTCGCCCTCATGTTCATCTTAAAAAGCACTACGGTTGACAGGAATCTTGACAAGTTGTTAGACATAGGATTCAATCCGAAGAACCCAATATTCTTGGCCTTTAGTTGGAATCACAAGGGAACTAATACCATACAAAAGGATTACATGCATAGTTACTTGAAGGAAAAATTTTGCTATCGTAATCCCAAAGAGTTTGTTCGACTAATGATTGAAAAATCATTACAATAGGAGCCATCCACTGACTTGCATAACCTGATTACAACACTTTGTGGGTAACTCAAAGGCCTTACGATATTAAATGAAGGAAAAAAGACATTAATCGGACAACAAACGAAAAGTCTGATTTTTATTACAAAATTTAAAATGCAATTTTGGAAATCTAAAATTAATCATAGATCACTGGAAAGTAGTGAGTTAGAACCAAGACATCGTGCATTTTTTTTAGAAGGTATCATGTGTCTAAAACGGAGATCGGATGCCAAATTTGTAAATTCCCACTGCGTCCTTTTATGTTGTCAAATTTAAAACGCTTTTTTAAGACCCACTTGCTAATGTATTTCAACTATCCGAAATATCAATATTTTATATATTCCGTCAAAAATCATGTTTACCAAAAAACACCTAAATCTGAACTCATATGACCGTTGGAATAAGGATTTAAAGTTTCTTTGTAGAACCGTATTTGTCTATTTTCTTCACTACAAATGAATGTCTTAATGATTTTGAATTTATCTATTTTTTTGCAAGAATGATATATGAATTATGTTTTAGAAGGGGTTTAGATCGTTAAAATGCATCATAGAGTGGCCCTCACAAAAACTGTGTCAAAAGTCATGCAAAAAATGTAGTGCGACGAATCCATCCATTATAAATATAATCATCAGATTCCGCTCTTCTATAAAATTTGGGCTTTACAATGGTTACAATAATTTCAAAGCATTGTTCTTCCCATTGTATTTTAATCACGCACGCTATGCAATTTCAAAGCATTGTTCTTCAAAGCATTGTTCTTCCCGTTGTATTTTAATCACGCACGCTATGCAATTTCAAAGCATTGTTCTTCCCGTTGTAACAGTAGAGATTTTTACGGATACAGGATCTATCCTTTTCTTAATAGCACTTGATTCACCAAATTGTCCAAATTTCTAGTCGAAGAACCCTGTGGACCCGTAGCTTCTTCAGCAAGTTTCTTCCACTCCATTACCTTGTTTTTCATTTTCTTGCCCTTCTCCCCTTCCATTAACTCTCTAACAAGCTTCTCCACTTCATCTCTCTTCACATCATTATCAATCTCCATGCCGATCCCCCATTCATTGTAAGTATAGTAACAGTTGGTTGTCTGGTCGGCAAAGAAGGGCCAACAGAGCATAGGCACTCCTGCAGACAAGCTCTCAATGGTTGAATTCCAACCGCTGTGCGTCAAAAACCCGCCAACTGACGGATGGTTCAGGACTTGCTCTTGGGGGCACCAACTCACTAGTAAACCTCTTTCTTTGGTTTCAAACTCAAACTCTGGTGGAAAAATCGCTGATTCACCAATAACCAAATCAGGCCTAATTGCCCACAAGAAGGGAAGCTTACTATTTGCAAGTCCCCAACCAAACTCCAAAAGCTGTTGTGGTGTCAGGGATATTAAGCTGCCAAAATTCACATAAACAACTGAATTTCGTGCCTTGGTGTTTAACCATTCAAGGCACTCGGTTTCTTCTTTCCACATACTATATCCCATAGGCTTCAAATGGTCTTGTGGAAATTGATTGAGAAGCAATTGGAGAGGGCCAATGGAATAAACAGGTGGAGGTATAGATGACAGAGCACTCAAAACATCTGGCTCCAATGCATCAAAAGTATGAACAACAACTGCTGAAGCTTCATGAACTCTTTCAACTGCTTCCAAGGAGAATTTAAACACAAGGTCATTCGGATCTGTAACTCGAAAGCAAGTCGGGAGATCCCTCAAACGGATACCCTTCATTCCTGGAACCCAATCAATTACCATCTCCAAAAATCCATTTGTCAAGCAGCTCTTGTCTACAACACAACATCCAAGTAAAGGCAAATTAATCTCATCAAAAGTTTCTTTAATGATAAATTGGCAAAAGGACTATTTAGGGCCTCTATGGCACTGCTTGACAAAGCTAAATGCACTTTCTAACAACCAAAAGCACTTCCAACTATATTTCGAAGAAAAACTTAAAAGTGCTTATGATTATGTAGAAGGGTGTTCTGGACTCATGAATAAAACCACTTGGATTTTTAATAAATTTCGTACAAATTTATAATAGAAGCACTTAGGCAAAAAATCTTACAAGGAGAAGTGCTTCAGCTTCTCACCTTTCAAAGGTGCAAGTCCTTTTTCCACCAAAATAGGATATTGTTTAGAGCCCATGAAGCCGGCTGCAGCAAAAGGAAAGAAGACGGCAATAGGAATTCCAAGCTGTTTAGCAGCTGTGATGGTCGATGTCATAAAACCATCTGAAACCATACAAGTCACTGGGGGATTCCTGTCATTCAGTTTCTTGAGGAGGTTAAGCAACGGAGCCAAGAAATTCTTTCTGATGGACTCCTGAAGCAAAGGGAACTCTTGGCGGGTATCGTTATCTGAAAGGCCATCTGGGATTGTTTCATACCGAAAGTCAGGCAAGCCATCGAGGGAGCTGGGGCCAAGAGAGTTAAGAAAGCGCTTGTGGTTGTACTCTGTGTTAACAAAAGTAATGTGAAAGCCTTTGTGGTGGAGGAGCTTTGCAAGTTTTAGCATTGCCGTTACATGGCTTGGAAGTGGAAGCGGAGTACATACAGCATGAGGCTTATTGCCTACTACTTCTTTGGAACTAGTCATCACGTCACGGCCGGTCTTGAGTTTTTTGGTGCCTGAGGCGAACGGTCAAACTGTGCTGTTCTCAATACAAGAACAATATAATAAAAAGAAATATTCAAAGCACATATTCACAACCAAAGCACAAATTTAAAGCACAGATTCACAATCAAAGCACAAGTTACCTGAGGGGTTTTGCAGCAGCTCTGTGCTCTTCTCGTACTTGCGGATTTCACTGCGGCGTATTCACAAACACCTTACAATCACAATCCAGCAACATAAAACCATGTAGCTTAAAACACCCACAATTCAAATTACAAAACAAGAATAATCAATTACCCAATCTTAATTTATTTCAGTATTAGCCAGAATCAATACAAATTTTAAGATTAACTGGCAGTTAAATGCGAGTTTGATTACATACCCAAAAGTAATAGTTCCAGGACCGACGGGACCGTTGGGTCAGGGTGTGGGTGCACAGCCACTGGGTGGACGGTGCAGCCCGTTGAGTCTGGGTCTAGCCGTCTTGGCAGAGGTCATGTTAGCACTGAGCCAATGCTGACCCTCCATCTCATATTATATGTATATGTATATGCGTGTGTGTGTATTATATATATATATATATATATACGTATGTATATATATATATATATATATGTATGTATGTATGTATGCATGCGTGTGTGTATATGTGTATATATATATTATGTGTGTATTGTTTGTACACATATGTTTGGTATATACTTCAACTTTGTAGGATGATGATTCAGATAAACAATGGACCGTCGAGTTTGCTCTTTGTATTTTTGATGGTGATGGATCAATGTTAGAAAATATTAGAAATAACAATATAATTCCATAGATAATAATTATAAAGAAATTAACAACATCAATTATATTATGAGATTAATATAAACAATTAAAGAGAAATTTAGAAAAACTGACAAATTTGAAGATTGAGTTATGCATAAATGCAATATCCTAAAGACATGTTTTCGTCCCTACTTTTATGCTTGTAGTTTGGTAGGCATCTGTTTCCCAAGATTCAACAATCTATAATCCGAAGTCAAAACACTTCAATCTTCGAACTCTGGCAAACTTTATATATTCTGTACTCTCAAAACTCGACTCGAAATTTGACAAACAAAGAATGAGAGAAACAAAGTGGGAAAACCCTATTTCTCAAGAGTAAAAATTAACTTTAATTTTCTATTATTTAATACCAATGGGTTAATATAGAACCCAATCACTACTTATTATTAAAGAGATTTAACTTTTCATACATAAGTATACATTATCTCTCAAGGGAATGCACCTAAACAACATAACCTTTCTAAGAAATACGGTTAACACTATTTTTCATTCAATTATTAAAATTATATATTACAATATTTCACATTATAATATATGATATCCAACAATCCCCCACATGAATGAAAAATTAGAAGAATTTGAGAGTACAAGCAAACAAAAGATGCATCGAGATAGGTGTCTTTTGGACTTGAACCTACCCTAGAGAATACTTATCAGATTTACTTGGTGACGCAGTGGATATGGAATATTGAATTGTTCATTGCAACAGTAAACCGAGACAATAAGCAACACACATAACTAATCCTAATATATTACGGTTCATACGGTTATGTTTATTTTGTTCCTGAACAAATCCTAGATTCATGAGAGCTTTAGAGAATTTAGCCATCTCACACTCATAGAAGCGACCCATTTCTACTCTCACATAGGTGGCCGCTGATTAAGAATACTGTGCAATATTCCTCTTATTAATTTATAAGATATCATTGTCATTAAGTATAAATATACAACCTAAGACTTCTGCAGACAACACACTTCTTCCATCATAGGTATAAGGTATATAAGTGTGTTAACTTCTTTGTATCATGCCCAACCAGTTCTCGAATCAACTAAGTTATGTTTCCGCATGGCCGATTCATTAGTTATGTTGGCTTTAGCTTCATTCCCCTTGATGATCAACTTACTCTCTAATCAAACCTTTAATAATTGGTACCACTTAGGTTGACTATCTTTAATGGTCTACACAATCCATCTTATGAAAATATTTCATATATAGAGTAGTTGATTTACAATATCAAGTCCTCAACCGTATATGTTGGGACTTTAGTAAGTAATTTGCTGACACTTAGGCATACTTCCCCACACTTAAGGTATTAAGGAAGGTCTCTAACCTCTTCATACCTTAAAAATCATTTATAATAAGATATATGGTTTATTCTCTCTTTTATTGTGCAAATTACTCTTCACACTTAGACATTGTGCTTTGCTCAATTCGACAAACCATCACAATATTTACATAGAATTATCCTCTAAAATCTTTTGAAGCCAATATGCTTCCTCTCCAAATTGTGCAATGCACTTTTATTTGAGGTTTGGCTTATGTCATTGCATGTATATCCACCTAAGTATTTTGATTTCACATTATCAAAATCAATATCAAACATCATCAAAGCATTTAGTTCAGTGGATATACTTATTGTAAATTATAGTACATGATAATGTACTTTAAGTACCTTAAAACCATGACTAACACATCAAAATAGCCAACCTTGATTTTGCCTACTAAATAAGCCATATCTGATCTAGTGCTCTTCTGTAAGAAACCCCCATACTTCAAAGTCTTATTTAAGGAGTAATTGCCAATCATTCTAGGCTCTACCAATGTTCCATGCATCTCTGTAACTTATGGCACCACATTATAGGGCCTTGGTGCCTCACTAGCCATTATAAGAAAACCTCTTCTTGGCTTGCATCCTTGGGCAAAACCCCCATAATTCAATTGCTATTTTCTTTTTAAGACAAAGATAATTCATCCTAAATGAGTTTACACGCTAAGATTGGCCGATGGACAAACAGTGTAAAATTCATTGCCAAACATGACTAAATAATGAGCCATGGCAAAACTCTTTTTCATTGTCTTTTACCCCAATGTAATAAAAACCATGTACATGTGGTTCTTAGAAAAGGCATGGGTCAATCTGCTTTACAAACATAGTTAGGCCCCTCAATTATATCTTTGACCTTTGAACTTACCTATGGATATCGTCATACTCATTTCATTTCACATGTATTTGGATTTGATACATGCTACTATTGCCACATTCCATTCTGAAATTTACAGATCGTTCCCAGGCACGCATCATGAAAATTTTCACAACTCCCCTTACTGTAGGCCACAACCCTTAGTAAAAGAGTTACTTAGACTTTCACGTCTGCATATATGTCCTTCCTTTTCCTTAGAAATATCTTTGTTATGCAATTGTGGTGAACAAACTTTTCCGGAAAAATTTTCCAGAAATCGTGCAGGTTTCCCAACTGGCATGTCAAACACTTGGAAATTTGTCAAACACTCGGTCATTATTTGAAATTAAGAAATTTAACCATAAAGCATATGTCACAAGTCATGCAATTCATGCTTTCAAGGTAACTTGCCAACACACGTGGACGTACTCATGCATAAACATACCGGTAACTCAAATCACCCATACAAACTGGACGTACTCATGCATAAACTTCGAAGAGAGCTTTGGCAACGTATTAGTCTTCAAAGGTTTGGTAGAAGTTCTTCTAAATGCCAAAATTTTCGACCCTTATGCTTGTGGGAGGACCTTGTCTTTATAGGCTTCTCAAGGCTTGCCTTTGGGTGGATTTAGCTTTGATTTGTGTCCTAATTTGTCCATGAAAGAATTTAGGCATGTTTTGTGTCTTAATTTCAGCCACCTTTACTCCCTTGGCTGAAATTTATAGGCTTTGTTGCCTATTTTGTAAGTAATCTTCAGTTCTTGCTTGTTTTATGAAGATGCCTTAACTTTCTTTTCGATTTTAGGATCAATATGGATCCTTTTGCCGAATTTAAGGGAGTTTTCTCCCTTTGGCCAAATTTTGGGAATGTTTTATACTTCCCTTGCTTGATTTGTGCCACATGTCATTGATGACTTGTCCATTTGTAATGAGTCATATGCCACGTGGAACTTTGTGAGGCATCATTTGTATGCAACGAAATTTACATGTCTACAATGTGATGCATTTGCCCAAAAAGTTTTAATTTAATTTTTTTTTATCTTTTCAAGAGAAACAAGTGGTTGCATGGACACCGCTTTCCATTGATAATGCCAAAACATCATCTAACCCCAAGACTAAAATCACAGAGATTGAAGTCCTAATGGCATGAATTTTAGGCAAATCATCTTAACATAAATGGGCTAGGCTACATATTAAATACAACACTATATGTTGCCCAACTTGTTTAAAGTCGCAGATTGAATCAACATGCAAACACTGCTCATACGTATATAGATGAATATATTTGAGTTGTATCATGCATTTAGCAATACAATTTGAATGACAACATCAATTATACTAGTATGTTATTCATCAATAAGCAAATAAAATTCTGTCCCACGAAGACAATCCATAGAAAACCATAGTTTCTTCAAATTAGGGTTTGGGATAACGTTTAATGTTCTTAACATCTCTTTTTTACATTCATATTTACTATTCAACATTGCATAAAAAAATTTCGGTCTTTAGATTGTTGGAGTAATATTAGAAAATATGAGAAATAACAATATAATTTCAATGATAATAATCATAAAGAAATTAACAATAATTATATATGAGATTAATATAAACAACTAGAGAGAGAGAGAGAGAGAGAGTTAGAAAAACTAACAAATTTGGAGATTGAGGCTTGTATAAATGCAGTATCCTAAAGACAGAATTTCGTCCCTACTCTTGTTCTTGTAGCTTGTTAGGCATCCATCTCTCAGGATTCAACAATTTATAATCCGAAGTCAAGACACTTCAATCTTCGGACTCTGGCGAACTTTATATATTTCGTACTCTCAAGACACAACTCGAAATTTGACAAACAAAGAATAAGAGAAACAAAGTGGGGAAACCCTATTTCTCAAGAGTAAAAATTAACTTTAAATTTCTATCATTTAATACCATTGGTTTCATGGGTTTATATAGAACCCAACTACTACTTATTAAAAAGATGTAACATTTCATTTATAAGTATATATTATCTATCAAGGGAATGCACCTAAACAATATAACCTTTCTAAGAGATAATGTTAACACTAATTTTCATTCAATTGTTAAAATTATATGTTACAATATCTCACATTATAATATATAATTTTCAACTTGTGACACATGTGGTGACACTTTCGCTTTGTCGTCGATGCTCATTGTTGTAGCTTGTATTCATCTTAATTTTTTTTTAACAAACGGTATTCTCTATACTAAAATGTGGGGGAGGGAACTAATTAAGTCTCATACTGGACTAGATATAATAATGCAGTTCAAATTCGTCTTTGGTGATAATCAAACTTAAGACCTCTCGCTTACAAGTGAAGAGTAATACCACTAGACTATAGTACTAAGTGATATATTCATCCTAATTTTAAAACTAGCAAAATATGAAAGACCTGATGAGCATTATTATGTCTTATTTCTTTATTTAATCTTTTTTTTAGTACAACAATATATTTTACACTAAGGGGAGAGGAAGTTCAGCTAAGCCACACAATGGGCAATCTAATT